TATATCTATATTAGCATTCCTTATCATTCAAAATATTTAGATAAGTTTTTAAATGCAATTTAAAGCATTTTTGGTTTCGATCATAGTAGGCTATTTTCAAGAAAATATCGATTTTATATCTATATTAGCATTCCTTATCATTTAAAATACCTAGATAAGTTTTTAAATGCAATTTAAAGCATTTTTGGTTTCGATCATAGTAGGCTATTTTCAAGAAAATATCGATTTTATATCTATATTAGCATTCCTTATCATTTAAAATACCTAGATAAGTTTTTAAATGCAATTTAAAGCATTTTTGGTTTCGATCATAGTAGGCTATTTTCAAAAAAATATCGATTTTATATCTATATTAGCATTCCTTGTCATTTATAATACCTTGATATGTTTTAAAATGCAATTTAAACCATTTTTGGTTTTGATCATAGTAGGCTATTTTCAAAAAAATATCGATTTTATATCTAAATTAGCATTCCTTATCATTTAAAATACCTAGATTAGTTTTTAAATGCAATTTAAAGCATTTTTGGTTTCGATCATAGTAGGCTATTTTCAAAAAAATATCGATTTTATATCTATATTAGCATTCCTTGTCATTTATAATACCTTGATATGTTTTAAAATGCAATTTAAACCATTTTTGGTTTTGATCATAGTAGGCTATTTTCAAAAAAATATTGATTTTATATCTATATTAGCATTCCTTATCATTTAAAATACCTAGATTAGTTTTTAAATGCAATTTAAAGCATTTTTGGTTTCGATCATAGTAGGCTATTTTCAAAAAAATATTGATTTTATATCTATATTAGCATTCCTTATCATTTAAAATACCTAGATAAGTTTTTAAATGCAATTTAAAGCATTTTTGGTTTCGATCATAGTAGGCTATTTTCAAAAAAATATTGATTTTATATCTATATTAGCATTCCTTATCATTTAAAATACCTAGATAAGTTTTTAAATGCAATTTAAAGCATTTTTGGTTTCGATCATAGTAGGCTATTTTCAAAAAAATATCGATTTTATATCTATATTAGCATTCCTTATCATTTAAAATACCTAGATTAGTTTTTAAATGCAATTTAAAGCATTTTTGGTTTCGATCATAGTAGGCTATTTTCAAAAAATATCGATTTTATATCTATATTAGCATTCTTTGTCATTTTTAATACCTTGAAATGTTTTAAAATGCAATTTAAACCATTTTTGATTTCGTAATGAATATAGGGAGGATTAAAATAAATCCATCGGATTAAAATTTTAAATCTTTATATCTACGTAGGTGTTGATGGAAGTGGGGCATGTTTAGTATCATTGGATAGGTGTTTTATGGTTCTACAATACAAAAAATGTTTCATCAAATAATTTTTAGAAACAAGTGCACCAAAACAATTTTAATTGAAGCCTCCAAAAAAGCTTGTTTTTCGCTCTACTGGCTCAGGACTGTCACCAAAAATTATGATTTTGGTATCAATCGATTCCTAAGAAGATGTAAAACATTTAAACAACCAGCTATTTTTTGATTAAAGGCTTTAAAAAAAAGTTAAAGCAAATGTAGTGTTTGCATAGAGATTTCGTGAAAATCTTTCATCAATCACTACGGTCTCAAAAAAAAAAGTTCATGCAAAGCGCCATAATTTTCGACCTACTAGACAACAAGGGCTAAATTTTGACATATAAATCATTACTTTTGGATAAAACGGTGGACCTGTAGGTTGGGTGACAAAATTTGACAGACATAAAGAAACACCTTCCGTGTTCCACGCGGAAGCTAATAAACTCTGGGATTTTGATTTAAATCGCAAAAAATCTCCCCACCCCACCCTGATTATAGCTTCCTGTTTTGAGGGGTGAACCTGAGAATTCAAATTTTTTTTGTTGGCAGTAATGGATTAATAAAAAGGAAGTAAAAATGTCATTAATCAAGGTTTTCCTGTTGCTTACGCTTTTTGAAGAATTATTCTACTTTTTTAATGGAATATCGAGGGTGACTTTGAATGCTTAGTGTGGTCGGAATTTGATGGAATGTATATTTATTAAACCAAACTGTCTGTACAGTATTAATCTATTGAGCTTATATGTGAGAACAAAGATATAGTTTGAAAATCTTAGTTCCCTTCTGTCTATATTCTATTCATCAGATAGTATTGAAGCTTGTCTCTATGAATTTCTAGACTAGTTTTTAAGTCCAACGTTGCTGTAAAAGATCCAATTTTGTCTAATGATTTTGACATCCTCCTTAATAATAATAATAATGTGCAAAGGGCTCAGCCTTTCAGCTGAAGTCACTGCGATTCAATTTGTAAAGAAATTATTGTACCATACCCTTTAGACCTACAGTTTATAGTTGGATCCGAACCACTTGCAAGCTCTGCTCATTGCAAAGACACGAGTATGTCATAAGACCTGATGTACCATGCAATGTACCTTGTCACAATTCGTGTGCGCAAGATGCCGTAAGGAAATCATCTAGATGCTAGCATATCCTTGTATACCTAGCAAAGGAGGCATATTCTATGCCAAAGACATCAATACAACACCAAACGCATGAACCTAGCTTCATAGCTAGAACGGTTAAAAATGGAGAAAGAGCTTCGAAAATTAGACATGGCCTGGGATGGCCACACCCTCCTTCATATCCTGAAAAATCAAAAAAATCAAATTTTCATTTTATTTTTAATTTTTTCTTTATTTTTTTTTAAATCAAATAAAATTCCGTCTCATGCCTCATATTTTTACACATTTCTTTTCATTCTTAAAGAATAATCATATTTCTTTTTGTTTCATATAAATTAATTACAGATTTATCTCATACCATATTCACAATTTTTTTTTAGTATTTTAAAATTCTCATGTTTAACATAAAAATCGTAAAAGAAAGAAACAAAAATAAATTTATAATAAAAATCAGAAAATATCTTTTAAATTTGTGAAAAAATGAAAAAGTAGCAACATTATTAAATTTAAACATTTTTTTGGTTTTTATCAGTTTTATGTTCCTTACGTTCCTATAGAAAGAGAATAAGAAAGACAAGAATATTGATGTGTGGGTCACAAATAAATAACGGTAATAAATATATAAATATATATTAATCTATAGTATGTGATGTCTGTCCTCAAAGAATAACAATCCTCTTTAACTGTTTTTTTTTTGTTACTTCATTATTAGGTAATTAAGTCATTGTTATTGTGGATTCTAAAATATATACTTTTTTTGCTCTATTATTATTATCATCATTTTATTAGTAATTTAGAGGATCCTTCACAAATGACGTCCACCAAATGGTTCATCTCCACCCCCTCTACCCTAGCTTTACTTCCAGTAACTGTTGTACGTCATTTATGAATGAACCCTTGTTATGAGAGTAAATTAGGATGCGAGGCAGAGGGCATTCTTATACAGTAACTGTCAACGTAAATGAAGCTATTGAGAGGTCATTCGGATATTCAGTAATGCTCCAAATCCACAGAGTTAAATTAGAGTTTGAAGGACTTTCCTAATTCATTCGGGATCGTTCATAAATAACGTCAGAGAATAACAATACTTTTTTCAAAAAAGATCAAGAATTTTATTATTTTTGGCAATATTTGCTTTTTTTGCTTGTCACAAGCACAGATCTATATATCTGTTGGCAAAATTGACAGATCTGTGTCTGTGACACACAACATCTGAGCCAGACAATCTGTATCGTAGCTCTGTTCTTGACTTATTTCCCCATTCGTGACGTCGTTTATGAAAGACCCCTAAGTCACCTGCAAGCATCACTAGGATATCCAAACGATCTCCAAAGTTAATAGGGACCGTTCAGTTATGACGTCCAGGGGGGGTGGGGTCAGCAAGAAAAGAACAATAGAAATTCCAGGAAATCCATTGTTCTTTTTTGAAAAATGACCGTTAATTTCGGACGTCATAAGTGAACGACCCCTTAAGCATCTTATGCAAAAAATTGATAAATCGTCAATAAAAAACAAAACAAAATTAAAGTTTAATTAATATTGCACAGTTTTGGCTCTCGAATGATTATTTGCTGACAAATTCCTTCCTGGATGGATAAAAATCAATTCCAACACAGGCTTGATGAATTTGCAAGAAATTGATTTATAGCTCAGTTCTGAATCTCTTAACATTGATGTGGATAAAATCTTCAGATTAACTTTAAATCCATCGATTAATCCATTTAATTAATTTGATGCTGACTAAGTTCCTGAATTCTTAGATCAACCATTTATAACACATCTAAACTAAGCTTGCTGTAGATTCCATTTTTGTATTCCTTTAAAAAAATAATCATTTGTGAGCCAAAAGTCATTCAGTTTTTAGTAAGTTTGGGATATTCTATAAGGAAATTGTTGTAATAACGACTAGAAAAACTCTTGTATGTTGCGCATTCACTTCTGTTGCAGAATAAATCAGATGCTTTATGTCTCTGTATGTTGTGACATTAAATATTAGCACTGGATGAAGTTAAATGATGGAAATTGTTGATTTAAGTGCTAAACTTGGATAAAATATCTAAATCATTGAAGCTCAGCTGACCAATTTTCCCATCAGCTGATTAATCAGCCATCAAATCCGTTCATTTAAATCTAAAATGGCCATAAATAAGCAGCAAATTCCAAAAATAAACGAAATTTCATTGATTATTCTGCTCAGAAGTGAATTCCGTCTGTTCCGTTGAGACTACTTGACATTATGGTAGCAACAGCTTTTTGCATAGACAAATAATTATGGTTGTAGCACGCGTGTATGGTTGTGTAAAAATAGCAATAATGAATATATAATTTATATACAAATTTCCCTTTTTCTTTAATTAATCTTCGTCATAAATATATAAATATTGTTATTTTTAACCAGTAAGGATCAATAAAAAAAAAAGTAATCAGGAAGTGGGGCACATGCATTGGATGTGGGGATAGGCTGAGTTATTGAAGGAAAAACAATTTTCATAGTGTTAATTAATGTTTAATTTTTGGTAGAGCTTTTCACTTAAATAATTTTACACTCGTTCGTAGAACAGTAGATAGGCACTCGATGACACTAATGAACTCTCTCGTGTCTCGCTGACACTGAAAAAAGAAGATAAGAATTAAAAAGTTCAAGCGTGTGTGTTCTTTAAAAATGTTTTCATGTTCATGTCCAAAAACTTACAAGTTATCATTGTATTCGAACCACTTTTTCGTGACGGGATGTTTGCAGCTAGCGACGTAATGACCTCCATGAGTGGATCCTAAAAGGAAAGCAAAAGATAAACCGTTATAGAAAAATTCAAAAAAAAATCGAATGAAATTTTAGCAAAAAGTTTACGGTGTGATTGTATTGATTGGGCTGTTATTGGCGGAATCACTCTGGTTCGCCATCCGCGATACTGCATCGCCACGGAAAGTTTTGACTGCTCTCTTACGATTCTAGTCCGGTGCCCTTCTCCTTAGCAACCTAGATAGTCAAGCCTCCGCAAAACTACCTATGTTGATGACAAGCTTACCGCGGACAAACCGTCAACATGCCCGATCAATAAGCAGTGCTCCCAACCTCAAATCAACCTCATAAACCAACCTCCCAGAAGCTGGGATTACAGAGGACGCCACACCTCCAGTTGAAGATTGTTTGGCTAAAATGTGTATACATTCTACGTTTCATTCGGATATGTTCTTGTGAAGTATGTAATTTAGAGCAAAATGCAGCACAGAAACACTTTTTTGACCAAAATTCACTTTTCAAGTCGTTTCGTTCCATTTTTCATGACATTTCTTGTACATACCCATGTGATTGGAGATTCCATAAAGTGAATAAATTGGTGGTGTGTCTGATTTCTCCATTGAATCAGCAGCATATGGAGTTAAGTCAAGCTCACCGATGCCGGTTGGAAATTCGACAATATTTGTTAATTTCGTCCAACGCATCTCAGAGAATCTCTTTAAATCTACAAAAAAAAAATAAATCTTATGCTATATTTATGCCTTAATATCATTGGAACTTACGTATTACTAAGTATTTTGGGAAACTCTGAATTGTGAACCATTTAATGCATTTTCTAGTTGTTTTACAGAACTGAAAATTAAGGAACAAAATTAATGCTATAGACCATAAACATCCAGAACCAGCTACTCACATCACAGTAAGGCATTTCATTTCCATCTAAGACATCTTTAACGGTAAACATTTCTAGACATTTATCTAATTTGCAATTAGAAGATGTTGAGGGAACTGGCACACTTAAATCCCAAAACGGATCAAACATAACACTTGTCTTTTCACAATGCGTACAGTACAATGAGCTCTTTAATTGTCCAACGAATAAGTCTTTGATGATTGAATTCTCTCGTTTCGTATACCAATCCCACATTTCATGAGATTTCTCCAAGTCACTGGATATGGAATGAAAGAATAATTGGCATGCATATAGTAATTATAAGGTAGCAATCATTATTATGGGATTCGAACTTGAATGAGTTTGAAAAGTTTTTAACGGAAAAATAAACTTCAAATTTTTAAAACCAAAACCGTACAAATTATTTTATAGGGTTCTGAAATTCAAAAATTTTGTTTAACGAATTTTTTCAAAAAAATTTACAGCATGTTAAAGCACAAAACTCACCTCATGTCTTCCTCAATGTGAAGTGAAACTTTCTGTCCACCTTTATTAAGAGCACCGTGCAAGGCATCAAGTAAATATCTAAGAAATTCTTGCGAATCTTGTTGTGCTGATCCACTGTACATTCGATACTTACTACTCAATGCCATTTTTAAGTCTGATGGATTGACACTTTTTGCACCCGGTTGCCACATTTGAGTTATTAATTTACAAAATTCTGACCATATTTTTTGATCTTTAGTCGATGACGATGAGCCTTTATCAATAACTGATGATGCTGCTGATGAGGAACGAGCAAATTTCGACAAGTCTACAGTATGACTTAAGCATTGAAGAACAGAATTCATAAAGCATGTATTTCCTATATTCCATAATCCACATTGTCCCTCAGCTAAGCTAGATGTCTTTCGATCATAGAGATTATCACGGCCTGGAGATTTTGATGGAGAAACATTAGGTGCCCTATAACCACCAGCTGCATAACTTGACAATCCATTCGATCTTGACTCACCATCCAATTTTTTATTATCGCTCAATTTTGAATCACCTAATGAACTACGTCCAGAATAAAGTGATGCACCCGACGTATAGTCACGATCCCACGTTCTTGTTGTCGTTGGTAGTGCATTTCTCAAGGAAACACTCCGAATCTGGAATGAAATATTTTAATTTCTCACTAATGTCACATTTTCTGTCATGTCTGTGTAATTGATAGTCACATCTTTTAGACATGTCTGTGTATTTGTGTCTGTTTTGCAAAATAATTTACTTTGGTTGGTTTCCGAGAGATATTAAATGATATTTTTTTTAGAAAAATTATATTTCATGAGTTTCAACAGTCAATTTAATGGCAGTAGGAATGAGAAGTTATGAGCAGTTTTCCTTTTAATGATATATGGAAGTAATGAATCTTTAGTATCAAGAGTATATTTTTCAGGAGAAATTGAGTTCAGTGATATTAGGAGAAGTCTGTGATGGGTTTTTGGTAATTGCTTGATACTTGATGTCCTCTTTGAAGAGCTCTAAAGTCAAAAAGAGCTTTTTGGTTCAAAAATTTTTGATTCTTTGTTTACAAAAATTTTGAATTGGAAATTCTTTAATTTCATGATTTTTGATATTAACATAAGCATAATGGACTTTATAATATTAAATTTTCATTGCTTTATAACATAAAGATTGGGACTTTAAAGATCCAAGGCTGTTTAAATTGACCGAAATGTCAAAAATGTCTATTTCATCATATTCAATATAAAGTTTTGTTGATAATGAATTTTGACATTGAAAACAAGCTTTAAATAAGTCACAATATTGATCTTTAATTGCTTAATAGCTTAAAATTTGACTTTTTAAAGATCCAAAGCTTGTAAAATGGACTGAAGCAGCAATTTTTCAGTTTCGCCATTTTTATTTCAAATTATACTAAAATAAGCTGTTTTGAATCCAAAATTCAGCATTCAAATAGGTAGTAACATATTTCATGGAATTTTTAAGAAGCTATCATGTAACTCTCGATTTGTCCTAGATAAAAATTCACTCAAAGCAGAGCTGCCTAAAACTTGGCCTCTTGGTGCTTAAATCATTAAGAGTTTTCTCGAAAAACCCCATGAAAAATTGACTGTCGATTGTAATTACAGCACTAATTGCCATTTCCAATGGTTTTTCATCACGAAAATTAGTTCCTCAATTTCAAAATATTTGAACCATTAAAACTTCAACTGCTGTGCTATTTATAAACATCACAGACCATCCAAATTAATCTTTTTGAGATTCGCAATAAGAGCAGCAGAAAAAATTGGAAAAATGTATCAAAAATAAAATAAACTTAATGACCTCTGCCATTGTATCACATTAATGAATAGAAACTGCTCGAATGATATTTTATTGCCATAACCCGTATGAGACATTATGGCAAAATATAAAAAATAAAAATATTTAATTGTTTGTAAAACAAACACATCCACAAACACACCACGTCAGATCAAAATCGTCAAGCTTCAATTTCAATTAGCATTCATTTGATGATAGCTTCTAAACATAACATCAAATAAAATTCTTTGTAAACAGCATGGAAGCAGAATGTTGCACGTGTCTGTGATTAGTCATAGAATATCACTTTGAAAGTAAAAGTTTTGTTTATTGAGTTACAAGTGCGGAAAGCTAAATATTTACTTAAATCTGAATTAAGATTTGAAAAATTATCAGCAAAGCAGTCACGACTGTAAGTTTACATTAGCAAATTTCTAAAGCATTGTCAACACGTGGTTGTAAAATATTTTTTTTTTTTTTTTATGGTTGTTGTCAACAGCTTTCATCAAGAAGACAATTGAGAGAGTCTGTCTAGACTTGTGGAGAGAATCTGAGTCTTTTTACAAGTTGTTCATTAAGTACATTCTGAGCTGAAACAAGCGTACATTTTTCAAAACGGTTCAATGGAAGTTTAAGAATAGTTTTTGGACACCCTTCTCGTTACGTATTGAATATTGGAACTAACGGTAAGATAAGCATGAGGAGGTTTTGGCTGGAATGTTAAAAGCAAAACCTCAATATTGACGAAACCTCCTCTCAGTCAATGCAAAATTCAACCCTCCTTGAAGCATTCCTAGCTACTCCTGCAGCTGAGCATTGAATCCACGACACTTTCTTGGTATGGGCTTAGGTAACCTTGCTAAAATTAATAAATCATACCAAGAGAAGATCTGTGGAGGATCCATTAAATAAGGATCTCAAATCAGACTTTGTAGGCAAGAGATCAAGTGGAAGGCCAAAGAACTCATGGAACGAAGCTGTTGATAGAGACAGCATTGCATTTGCTATTGGAAATTGGCAAGCGGTAGCCAGCGATAGGGTCAGCTTCCGGCGATATCTGAGGGAGGTCATGTATCACAATTAATCTGTACGACTAGCAAAGTAAGTGAGGATACCCAAGAATATTAACTAGAATTTTAAAATTCTAACGCAAAATATATAAAATGCTGCCCAACATTGTAAAAAAGACGTGGAGAGTCTAGATTTTCAGGTGTCAATGTGTTTGATACAACACTAATGGATGATGGTCTACAAAAGTATGTAAACCGAAGTCTCTCAAAAACCGCACAACCAATACAACAATCAAGTCCAAAACTGAATAAAGCACCAAAACAAAATTCAAACATTTGTCAAAAGAACCTTCAAGGTCGCATAATATTTCGTACATGTGATCTCTGGGTCCACATTTAGTTCTGCTCAGAGCACCTTAACACTATGTGATGTGTAATTAGGTTAGGGTGCCTCGAGCGCCTGATTAATGAGCGAGAAATAAATTTTGTTAATCCATTAATTGTTAGTTCCAAAAAAAGGTTAAATGAAGCATATCCAATAATCATTACTTAAGGGTATGATAAGGAATGAAACAGTTAATAATGAATGAATGTTAATGAATCCAATTAAATGTAAGTATTAATGAGTTCACGACATGAAGATACTGGAAGTAAAGAATCTTCCTTCAATGTACACAAAAAAAAAATAATCAAACTTCCAACAGAAAAAATAGAGATAAGACAGGAAGGCCACTCAAGAAGTTTGAAGATCGTCAGTTTTTTGTTTTAAATTTTGAAATTTACCTCGCTTTTTGGAGTGTGTGTGGGTGTATTATTAAGTGACGTTGTCGATGACGCTGGTGAGGTTTCACGATTAGACGTGGTCAGTGCCGCATCCGAGAGTGATCGTGAGCGTGCCGATTCATATTTTGTCATATAACGACTTGGACTGTATTTCTCATAAAATTCCAAGTCATCCATTAAGCTCAATTTACCCATTGTGTCACTACTCTTTGCGGATGTACCAACGCCAGAGTCCGATGATGATGATTTCGTGATATTATTATTACTGTCATATTGATCACGTGATCTACTCAAAGACCGTTTACTCAATATAGAATTATTTATGGACGATGTACCATTAGTAGTTGATGATGATGATGATGGGTGGTGATGATTGTGGGCATTGGGTGGCAAAGGTGGCAATGTGTCGCAGATTGTGGAATATCTATTGTTACTAGTGTTTTTCTTACTTACACCAATTCTCGTCGATAATAATGAGTCAGTTCTCTTCTTGTCATATGACGAACTGCTATCATACTTGTTGTATGCATCATCATAATCATAACGTGATCGATATGACGATGTTCCACTTGTTGTTCTGTCACTAGCACTTGTTGAGCTACTTGATGTTCCGAGTGTCGATCGATAGGTTCGATAGGATGAGGTCGAATCACTTGAACTATTATAACGTGATGATGATGGGAGATTTGTTGACGATAATGACGATGATGATGTGTAGTTTGTACTACGATAAGTACCACTACCAATTCCTGAACTAGATGTTGATGATGATGATGAAGATGGTGATGTTAAGTAGGAACTGTAGCGTCTTGATGATATTACGGGCATTTTTATTCAATTTTGATTATTTTTCGATTTTTACTTTGATATTTTTATTTTTATGAAATTTGATTTTTGTATGAAAAAATTTCGCTAATTTTTAAATTCGTAAATTAACAGCCCTAAAAGTCAACAGAAATAAACAAAAAACAAAAAAAAATAAGAACAAAAAAGATAATTTTTGTACCTCACATGACAATGAGAAAAATAAATTAAAATGACTTATACAGGTGCAAGGTTAGAGACAATTTACTTAATTTAATTCATTTTTGGCAGTATGAACGTGAAAGGTGCACGAATGGGAGGAAAATGGAGGAGGGGAGGTCTACTTGTCATTCACAAAACAATTACATGATCGGATTCAGAAATAGTAATCAAATAATTAAATTTTTTACACTCTCTATTTGATATTTACAGCTATGCATGGTGTAAATGTGATTAATAATACCATAATAAATGCTGGCAAGACACCACAATTAATCTTTAAAGAGCTTCGCAACTTCTATTCATATAAAGGTGTGAATTGTAAAGAAATGATAATAATTGAAGCAATTTAAATCATTTACTCTTTTATGATATTATTAAAGTCAGGCTTTGGCAGCTGTCACTTTAAAATTGTTTGCTGTAGCCAATTGTAAAGTATGTAGAGTCTAATTTTACTGGATCTTGAAAAAGTCGATTTAGTGGGCTGAAAAATGTTATTGAACCTAGCCTAAGTTTGGAAATCAACCTTACACTCTTTAAAACCTTCTTTTAAAATTATCAATTTCAAATATTTGTTTACAAACAATCTCAAATGCAATTTAGTCATTTTCGTTAAAATTCAAATATAAACAAGCATTAAAGTTATCATAACATTGATGCTTCTATGTTAAATATCCTTAAGTTTCATAATTTATTAATCCAGTACAGAAAAAATAAAAAAAAACTATCAAAATTCTTAATTTTTTGCAATAAACAGACTAAATCTCAAGATTCCAAAGCCTGGATCTAATAAATCACATTGATATGATAAAGATAAAGATAAATTAATGGAAAGTAAACTTTCACTAGACTTATGAACGATCCAGTAACATATTTCAATGAAGTCTCTTTAATAATAATTTTCATTCTACATTGTATGCGAAGCTGAACATTTTATTGCTTCAATGTCTTCATCAATCTTGTGCCTTTCTGCTGCATAACATTAATTATGATATTAGCAACAAGAAAAATATGTAAATAAATAATTTGGAACACCTATTTTATGCACAGTTGCATGATGAGTTCTATAAATTAATTCATGCCTTGCTTCATTTCCCTCTTATCAAGTTCAATTTACTACAGTCAATATTTCTTTACTATTATTCCGTAAACATGCACAAACACACACATATACACACATGCTGGTTCTCACACATTTCATTTACGATGCAATAATGCGCGAAACATCTATCATAATGGAAATTGAGAGGATAGACGTACAACTTTATTATGATTATACGTGTGGAAAGCTCATTGGCGCATTATTCGGTTTACATGATAAAAAGAAAATGTTCAATGAATGTGGAAGAGAATTGAGAGTGAGAAATATCGACGGAGAGCTTGGAAAGTGTGCAATTGGAAAAAAATTCACGACAACGATGACTACGAACGATAGAAAAACGCTGTCCCATAATGATGATGATGATGATTTGACTTTTTTCAAAAGACCTTCTAATACAAACTCTTGTCTGTATGTACGTGAGAGAGAGAATTTTGCATGACCGCCAGACAAGAAGAATGTAGATAGATAGGAATTCATAAATAAAAGTTAATTAATCAAGGTCAGCGTTAAGAGAGTTTCTAAAATTAAAGAATTATATCTTTTGCAACTTGATTTGATTACGTTCATCATTACGTCACGTTTGACAACAAAATTGTATTCAATGAGCTTCAAGGTGAAAGTCAAGTGCATAATGTGAGGGCGACGTGAGTAAAAAAAAGAGTTGAGTAGAGAATAAAAGAGAATAAGCCACTCGTGCATTGGACAATAACAATTGTCATTATATCTACTTTGCTAACAAGTTGTATGCTTGTTTTTCATGAGAAGCATGATGATTAGTAGAGCTACTGAGCTCATATGACACCGAGGAAGAACCTTCACACAGTTTTCTTTCACCTCTTTCATCTTCAATTTTAAATTAATACTCATTTTTTTCGTACATGACTATTTCGTGTACAGTCAAATCCTACACATTTTGTTTCATCTCCTATTATTTTTAGATCTTTTTGCGTCGATTATTTTGTGAAAATGTAAAAGAAAAAAAATGTCTCAATAACATTGCGATTGTAAAAACACATGTATGTGCTCGATTCTTAACACAGAATCGGGTTTGATTGATTTCAATTTACGAGAGTTTTATAACGGTTTAAAATATATTGAATTAAAAGATGTTTCGAATAGTTTCAAGCCCCTCGTAATTTTTGTTTTGTTTTATTTATAATTATTCTGTATGCTTATCAACAAGAACTTTAATTTAATTATTAGACCAATTTCATTACTTCGAAACTAAACTAGCATTTGAAAAGTATGCATATAGTTTGAAGAAAGCTGATAAAGAGCTCAAAATCAATTGAACCAATAAATTTTTGACAAATCTTAATTATTTTCATAAGAAAGCCTTGAATGGTTCACTTGAATTTTAAATTCGCTAATGAATCTATTCCGTAGACTTTTTAAAGTAATAAATCAAGAATTATAATTATTCACACGATTTATTTTAAGAAAAAATTAACAGGTGTATGTTTTGTTTTGTTTTTAAATCTCATAGAGTACTTTTCCACAAAATCATTGCAACAGAAATAACCTTTCGTCTATAATTCAATGTTTACAAGTTAAATCAAATCCAGTAAATATTTCTCCTTCAAAAAAATTGTTAATTGTGTTGTTTTTATAAACAAAATTCTCAGGAAATTTTCAACATTTCATTTAAATGGATACCTTTGACAATACATAAACAAAACAAAAAAAAAACAATTTTTATTGCGATGCTAAATTTATATTTTTAAATCCATACAAAACATGTTCAGTGAATCAACCATCTATAATGTCATTTCCATGTTATGTTCAATGTGTAGAGCAAATAAGTTTTCATCGTTAATAACACGAAAAAAAAAAATGTATAAAATTTATTGATCAAACTCTTTCAATAATCGCAACAGAGAGCGAATAATTTAATGTAATATCTACACAGCACAGAGAGAACGAGAAGCGTTCTGACTAGCATTTATTCAAATGCACGAGACAAAACGCGACTTTTTGATTGCCACACGAGCCACCCATACATTTCGATTTTTTTTTTGTTCAATTCTTTTACATCATCATTTTGATCTATATTTGAACTAATTTTACTATACACATTTAATTTTCTTGTGCATACATATTCATTTAATTTGGGTTTTTGACGAATGAAATTAATAATGAATGAGTTGACAAATTATGAGTGAATAAACATTCAAGGTTTACAGATTTGCTTTTGAAGCATAAGTTAAAATTGATGAATTCTAGTTTAGAAAGGTTATATTGCAATGGTATATTTAGAATAGACTAAGAACTCTTTTTGTTTGGTAGTACCCTTCCCTAGCTACGCTAGTATAATTCCGAAAAATAACAATTTCTTTTCCAACTTAAAATCAATTAAGACACGCTTATAAAAACTTGACCCACCAATTAAAACTAAAATGTAACAAACCACTTAAAAATGTTTAATTTTCAAGCATAAACAATAGTAAACAGCGCACAAGAAAGTGTATTGATAAATAAACAACACAAACAGACTCGCAAAACAACCGAAGGGCAATGCGGCCTTGCCGTGTAGACAATAAACTTCATTATCAAAGAAATTACTCACAATTTATTTGAAAAAAAAACCGAAAAAACTCAATTAATTTATATGAAAAATAATAATCAATACGCATGCCTTGACACCTAATAAATTGAAATCGGATTAGGAAGGTTTAAGAAATATTTACTTAGGCATGGAAGCCTTAGTCATGCGGTTTTAATGATTTAAAGTTGTGGATTTAACAATTGAAAGTTAAAATCGCTTTAAAGACTTAAACTTTTATATATTCAATACTTAATTGATTGTCATGGGAACTTGGAAATTTACTATCATGTTGTCAAGTGATATCCAAGTTTGAAAAACTTTGTGGATGATTCACTGAACTTTTATAATTTAAATAACAATTTTGTTGGTCTTTTTTGGATTGCTAGACTTTTTGTATGTATTGGAGCGTAGTTGTTTCACAAAAGGGGGGTAGTGGGTGATATGATTTATATTTTGGATAAAAAGTATGTTTGGAAGTATTGAATTTTGTCAACTCATTCTTGAGAGTACTCAAACCAGTGGCGTACTTCTGAGAAAGCAAGCTCGTTGAGTCATTAAGAGGCACCTACTCTTTAAGACTACAACAAAACCTTAAAACAGCAATGAGCACTATAAACACGAGAATTCAGCATATCACACAAAAATGTGTCGCAAGTCTCTATTGACTGATAAATTCATCAAAATATAAAGCAATCATGTCTAGTAGTTTCTAGTTACATACACTGACAGATATTTAACTCGAGACAATCAATGAAGTTATGTATATCATCCCTATTGGGAAATAGCGATGAGTCATCGGCAATAAAATAATTTTTTTTTACTCTCATTCTTCGTTTTACAGCAAATAATGTAAATTTATGTTTTTAGGAAATGCACACTGGAAGTAAAATTAACCTTCACAATGCGTATATAGTAACATACTGTGTAGATGTGTAAGTGAATTTGAAGAAAAAAATGTGTGTAGATATGCCAAAAAAAATGTGTGATTTTCCTAAGGAAATTTGCCGATAAAACTTACATTTTCCTCGACCATTTTTCCACCACCTTCACGAAATTCTTAAAAATTTTGACATTTGATGTTGTTGCAGACGTAAAAAAATATATCGACTCGGAAGAGACTCTTGAAATTTTTTATATCACAAGAATTGACAGAAGTTT